ACAGTCCTGATATTCGGGGCTTTTTCTTATATAGGTGCCTATTACCCCCCACCCCCATTCCGATTTTTCACACTTGCTGTCTGGTCACCCTAATCGGGATCCACCTCCCACTTCCTGGGTGCAAATTCACTCACTATATGCACAGAGTAGACATCACAATAACCAAGTCAGCATACGGTATTCATTACTGGCAGTTTCAAATGCATCACCATGGGATTCAGAATGCCTGAATGATGAATGCATGCTGGGATTTCAGAGGAGCCTAAGATTTGGGTGCTTAACTCCCTCAGGCTCCTTGGAAAATCCCATCCTAAAATATTCATCTGCTAGGAGAACAAGGCATTCTCCAGACCATTGACTGCTGTGCTCTCCGTGGTACTGAAGTGAAAGGCTTAATTGCAGCAAGGCTCTGAATCAGCTTTTCATTAGAACATTATGCTCTGGAGGGGGAAGGCGGCTTTTTTCTCATCAGATGGTTTTGTTTACTTGAGGCACTGAGAGGTTCCCACCCTGAGATGTTTGACTAGGTGTTTTGCCTTGGGCAGAGCGCTTCACCTCTCTGTGCTTCAATTTCCTCATCTGTAAAATCGTAGGCAATCATGTTTAGTTGCCCATTTCTGTAAAGCACTTGGAGAGCTACAGATGGAACGTGCAATCTGTATGCAAAGTATATTAATTATAATTATATTACACACACACACCCCCAAAAGCTACATTATCATGTTGCAAATTCAAGCACTCGAAAGTTGGGAAACGCCAGAAGGCAACATGTACAACCTTAATTCAGCCCCTTTGCATATCTGCACGGTGATACAGTCTTTCATCACCTAGTATTATTTCAGCAGGACTACTGCCTCATTCAGTGACTGGGTAGTTCAATATTTCTTATTATCATAGAATCATAGAATAGCAGGGTTGGAAGGGACCTCAGGAGGTCATCTAGTCCAACCCCCTGCTCAAAGCAGGACCAATTCCCAACTAAATCATCCCAGCCAGGGCTTTGTCAAGCCGGGCCTTAAAAACCTCTAAGGAAGGAGATTCCACCACCTCCCTAGGTAACCCATTCCAGTGCTTCACCACCCTCCTAGTGAAAGAGTTTTTCCTAATATCCAACCTAAACCTCCCCCACTGCAACTTGAGGCCATTACTCCTTGTTCTGTTCTCAGATACCACTGAGAACAGCCTAGATCCATCCTCTTTGGAACCCCCAACCAACCAACCTGCAGCCGTGAATCTCAGAGCTCAGGTTTACAATCTGGGGCTCGCATGATAGTGCTTAAAATAGCCGTGTAGCTGCTAAACCCAGGATTGTGATTTCAATCCTTGAGGGGGCCACTTAGAGACTAAACAATCCCAGTTCCCTCAGCCTCTCCTCATATCCCTCCTTTTCAACGTGTGGTCCCAGGCCTTATTTACCACACCCCATCCAAACCCTGCACTGAATACAAAATGGTTAATTTCCTTCTGGGTATTTCTAGGATGGTCTCACCATAGTGTCTGAGTGCTTCACCACCATTATTGAATTTAGACACACACACACCCTGATTAAGCAGCATTCTTATCCCCATTTTACTGAGGGGAGCTGAGCGATTAAAGCCAAAATTGCTGAAAGTGTCCACTGATTTTGAGTGCCCAACTTGAGACATGTAGGGTCTAATTTTTCAGAGTATGGAGCCTCTTGATAGCATTTCATATGTTCAAAGCGCAGATCCAATTGACGTCAGTTGCCCTTCTGAATGCTTAGCACTACTACAAACCTGGGCTCCATACGTCTCAAGTTGGGTGCCCAGAAAATGAGGAACACACCATCAGTGACCAACTGTAAACCTTTTGGTTCAAGTGACTTGCCCAGCATCAAACAGAAATGCTGTGGCAGAGGTAAAATCCATTTATCCAGGGAAGCATTCAGCTGCCTAAGCCACAAGCTTATCCTTTCTCTTCCCGAAATCCCCTGCTTTATGTACTACACAACTTCCAACTTCTGCAACAAATGAAGCCATGGTCCTTAAGACAACAGGCTTAGTTACTACACAACCCTGATTTGTCCTCAGAGCAGGTGCATCTTGTGCACCGAGTGAGGCAGGGGTCCTGTGGGGAAAATAGTATGTGATCATGTAAGTCAAGACTGTATCATAAGGCATACGCATAAGCGGCCAAACTAATAATGCACGGGCAAGATTTTCAGAAGATGCTTCCACTTTTGGCTGCCCAATGTGACATGACATGGAGTTGGACATGCAAAAACCGAGGTGCACAAAATCACTAGTCCCTTTTGAAAATCTTGGCCCCCATGACTGCACTCTTGTCTTTGTTGCAAAAGGCTTCTGTGTTTACACCCTTTATTGGCATCTGGTTTATATTCGGTCTCTACTGTCATTGGACCACACTTGACAAAGAAAACCATGCATGGCAAGTTTGCAATGCAATCCTCCCTGAAAAGAAACCACAGATCTAAAAATATCATACTCGACAGGGACCACATCCCAAAAGAAATCTTTCCCAACCCCCCCCCCCTTTCTGGCCTTCAAACTACCCCCCAACCTTGCCAAGCTCATCATCAGAAGCAAGCTCCCCACAGACCAGGACCCACCAACTCAAAGCGGCACCAGACCCTGTCAAAACAACAGATGCAAAACCTGCAGATGTATCTCCACTGCTACAATGATCAACACCCCCCACAACACAACATTCGAGATCCATGGCTCCCACACCTGCCTATCACAACATGTGGGGTACCTCATCCAGTGCACTAAATGCCCCCAATGACAACTATGTGGGTGAAACCAGACAAACACTGTGCTCGCAAATGAACTCACAGAGAAAAATGATAAAAGACAAAAACACCATCTCACCTATGACAGCAGAGGTGTTAACTACCCACTTCACCCTGAATGGTCTCTTTCAATGTGTGCTAACTCCTTATGTTTAACCATCTGTTCCACCTTGTATTTAGCTGTGGCACTCTGGTTACCTTTCCCAGACCTGAAGCAGAGCTCTGTGTAAACTAAAAAGTTTGTCTCTTTCACCAACAGAAATTCGTCCAATAAAACATATCACCTCACCCACCTTGTCTCTCAAAAATGTCAAAGTATCCGATAAGTTAGGACTTCTCCGCCAACAATGTAAAAAACAATTCTCTCCTAGCCTGTCTACCAATGAAAGTTCTGCCAAGAAGGGATCTCATTTAGAACATGCTGTTTCATCTTAACTTCCGTGATCTGTAGGAATCTAACCCTCTGGCGCCCCTTGTGGCAAGGTAGAGAGTAATCACGTCTCTTTTCATGAGGCTTAAGCAAACACAGGTTACCCCTAGCTTAGCTAGATGGAAAGATGGGGAGGGGTGTGTGCCTTTGTGTGTGTCGGAGAGCAGAAGAAAGAGAAAGGCACCAGAACTATAGGAAAACGGACGTCTATCAAGGGATCTAGCCAGAGAAAAAGCTTCACAGTCCTACCAAGATGCAGTTGAGAAAGCCCTGTTTTGCCTGACTGAGGTATAAGCCACCACATAGTGAGGTGGGCAGAACTGAGCATCTGTTTTTCTGCCTCTAAGACCATTTCTTTGGGAGTGTAAGTAAATATCCCACTGAGCAGCCACATCTGCTTCCCCTGGAGTGGGGGACGGGTGGGGAGAACGCTGCAAAAGGGAAAAAATAAAAATCCAACCCCTTATTCCCCCTCCCCTTAGGACAAGCAGGCCTTTACAGCTCTGTTTTGTCCTGTGTAGTACCGCAGGGGTCTCTTGTTTAATGAGCACACATCTTTGCACATTCCCGGCCTATGAATATGTATGGCCATTACATAACCAGTTGGGGATGGGAAAATATCCTGCCCTATTCTGGGAGCTGAGCTCTGTCTTGGGTCTCTGTTACCCCTGGCCTCTCTTCTTGGAGCAATGAGGTGGATACCTGGGGGTGGGGGGAGGTAGGATCCCAATGTCTATGAAGGGAGGTGGTTGAGGAACAGAAAGAAGGGAGAAAAATGAAATAAAAGGTGCACATGAAGTAAACGGCGCTGAACCAGGAAACATATATTTGTAATTGGTGAAATAAGGGTAGCCCAGAAAGGGATGTAATAATATAGCATCCGGCAAGTCTCAGCAGGACTGTGGTGGCCGACTGGTCAGGTGGAGGTGGTGTGTTTAAATGCCCCTTTACAGACTTAATTTATGTTCCCAATGATGTTAAATTCACACACACACACACACGCACACACACACACACACCATTCTGAGGCCCTTTGCTGGGCCCCCCCAAGGCAATGCTTCCTTGCATGACTCCAACCCCACTGGTTCTCAAGCCATGGACCCAATGGCTGGCCTGGGAACCCGCAGAGACTAGACACGACCCGTGACGTCCATCCCACCTTTCCCGTTCACCAGCGGCTAGCCAGGAAAAAGGGACCCAAAGGGCCACTGAATCTGAATTCCCCCTTTCCCCATCGATTGCCCAGCTCACGTGCCATTCTGGCCCCCAATAGGAACCTGTCCCACTTGGAGCTCCTTGGCTAAGCTCCAGGGACCCCCTCCAAGGCTGGGGGGGGGACACACTTGTTGGCAGTTTCACCGCACATCGGGTAATGGGTGGAATGATCCGCACACCCCCCCCCCCTATGGGTTTTGATTGGCAGGCCCGCCTCTTTGATCCCCTGCCACCACGTGGCTCCCGACGTCCCCGGGAGTTGTCAGGTTTGACACGAAACCGCTGGCGCACCGGCGGCTGCACAGTCCCCGCTCTCCGCTCGGGGTGCGAGCCGCCGAGCAGGAGGAGGCGCAGCGGGAGCGGCGAGGGGCGCAGGAGAGCGGGGATCGGCCCGAGCCCGGCTCCTGGTCCGTGGCAGCCGGTTCGCGGGGAGCCGCCGCGCCCAGAGGAGCCCGGGAGTCGGATGCACTTTAGGGGACGCGGGGGGGCCAGGGAGCAAACACGACCCCCCCACACACACCTTCCGCGGGTCCAAGAGGCGGCAGCTGCTTGCGAAGTCTCGCCCCACTTTGCACCGGCGCCATGGAGCTGTCCACACTGCCCGGTGCTGGAGCCGACTCCGAATTCTTCTTCAACAGCAGCGACTCGCCCTGGGGTCCCTTCCCCAACGAGAGCTTCAACCACACGGGGCTGCCCGGGGCCAAGGACCCCACCTCCATCGTCATCGCCATCGCCATCACCGCCCTCTACTCGGTGGTGTGCGTGGTGGGGCTGCTGGGGAACATCCTGGTCATGTACGGCATCGTCAGGTACGGGCGGCTCCCACCTGGGCCAGGTGTGCGGGGGGGGGTCACCTGCCCGGCTCCAGGGAGCGAGTGGGACTAGGGTGACACGGCGGGGCAGGCTGGCCAGAAGCCAGAGTAGGTGTATGGGCGAGATACTGTGTGTGAGAAAAAGGGGGGGTGTTTGTGTACAGAATGGTGTGTGTGTGTGTGTACAGAATGGTGTGTGGGGTGTACAGAATAGGGTGTGTGGGGGTGGGTGTGTACAGAATGGTTGGTATGTGTGTGTACAGAATGGTGTATGGGTGTGTGGGTGGGTATACAGAATGGTATGTGTGTGTGTGTGTACAGAATGGTGTGTGGGGTGTACAGAATGGTGTTTGGGGTGGGTGGGGGTGTACATAATGGTGTGTGTGTGTACAGAATGGTGTAGGTGGGTGGGGGTGTACAGAATGCTGTGTGTGTGTGTGTATACAGAATGGTGTGGGGTGTATGTGTGTGTTGTGTGTACAGAATGGTGTGTGAGCGTTTGTGTGTGAACAGAATGGTGGTTGTGTGTACAGAATGTTGTGTGAGTGTTTGTGTGTGTACAGAATGGTGTGTGTGTACAGAATGGTGTGGGTGGGTGTGTACAGAATACTCTGTGTGTGTGTGTGTATATATATATATACACACACACACAGAGAATGGTGTGGGGTGTATGCGTGTGTTGTGTGTACAGAATGGTGTGTGAGCGTTTGTGTGTGAACAGAATGGTGGCTGTGTGTACAGAATGTTGTGTGAGTGTTTGTGAGTACAGAATGTGTGGGTACAGAATTTTGTGTGTGAACAGAATGTTGTGTGAGCATTTGTGTGTGAACAGCATGGTGACTGCATGTACAGAATGTTGTGTGAGTGTGGGTACAGAATGTTGTGTATGTGTACAGAATGTTGTGTGAGCATTTGTGTGGGTGGGTGTATAAAACCAGCATATTAGAGTATGGTGGGGTATGTGTGAAAACTCGTATTACATGTGAGAGTGAAGCTACAATGTGTGTGTGATAACAGAGCATTGTGTGTATGTCTGTGAAGCAACAGAGTATTGTGTGCGAATGAAAAAAACACTTGTGTGTGAGACAAAGTGTGTCTGTGTGTGTGCAGCATGCCCTGGAGGGGAGAATACAGAACCCCTAATGTAACTGGTTCCAAATGCTGCAAGTTCCTTTAGTTCCTAGTTGTGATTCATACAGTGTTAGTGTTGAAAGCTATTTACAACAGAAGGTCTAAAGCTGACCATGCTGTATGTTGGAAGAGGTGATGGTTGGAGGTTAGCAAAATGTCAATGCAATCCTAATATCCTGCTGTAAAAGCCAGTCCTACCAAATCAGTGCCATCAAATGTCAATGTGATAAAATCAGTTGCTCTCAAATCTTAAAGTTGCAGAAGGAGTTGTGCATAAGAACTGGGTTCGGTATATCTGTGTGTTGAAAGCTTCGCTGGTGGTTAAGAAGAGAGGGCAGAGGGCTCAAATCCTCAGCTGGCATTAACTAGCGTCACTTAATTGAAGTCAATGGAACTACCCTGCAGGTCTGGACCACTGGGCATATTTATTTCCCACCCATGAAAATATGACACAGCCCTAGCTCATAAATGCATTGTTAGCCTAGAGGCTATGAGTCACCACTCACATGTGTCTGTGCTGAACTGGAAATAAGCAAGGTGCCAATGTGTTTTTCCTTGTTATTTTTGACACAGATGAAATATACAATGCGTAGCTTTGCTAGCGGGAATTGGTGTGCGCATGCCGTGAGTTTCAGAATCCTCATCAGGTTACTGAGTCTCACAGCTAGGCTGCGTGCCCTGGCTGTATATTGCAGGTCTCGAATAAAACACCCTACGGGTAACGGAATGGAGATTTTCCTTATCAGTGGACAGACACTCAGATGGCTGCAGATCTCAGCCTAATGATTCTGGCCTCAGGCACAATCGAATATTACCTGGATAGAGACGTGCTATTGCTCGCTATGACAGGTGAATCGTGTCTTTCCCATGTAGGCGCCTGATCCAAAGCCCGTCAGTGTCAATGGGAGTCTTTTCATTGCCTTCAGTGAGCTCTGGATCCGGCCCCTAGCCTGGCTCACCAGAATTCATAGCAAATTGGGCCCTGGAAATTTAGAGCCAGATCCTCAGCTGCTGTTGGTGTATCTGCAGTGGCTTTCCGTGGAATTACACCTGTTTACACCACCTGAGGATCTGGCCCTTAGCCTGTAAAATCTCTTTTGAGATCACGTTCTCCACGGTTCTCATTCATCCTCCCATCAGTCTCATAGCACACCCTCACTCCTGCTCTGTCACAAGGATCAGGAGTTCCGGGGGCTCCTGGATGTCCACCCCATAATGCTAATGCCCTGTCCATTCTCTTACAGTCTGTGTTGGCTCAAGAGCACAAGGGGCTGTAGCCCCAAAATTAATGCCTTCACGCTAGGTTTCTAGCTCCTGTTGGAGGGGCAAGGACAACAATCCTCCTGCCTTGGCATAGGGAGCTTAGAAGTTTCTTTACTCAAGACAGCAATTCTGTCATCCCCTATTTGTTCTGTAGGATGTTAGACAGTTTGCTTAAAACAAAAGCCATGTTCTTTCCGTACCCCCCACTGCTCACCATAACCCTCGCTGCACCTGATCACTGGGGCTGTCACTCATCTGGTACCAAATTTACCTCCCTCCCACACAAACCTACCAGCACTTCCCAGGTGAGGCCTGTAAATTATTGATATTGGGCATGCAGAGCCATCAAACTTGGGGCCAGATGCTGATGCCCTTACTGAAAATATCTGTGAAGTAATGCACTCTTCAGGGCTCGGGTAGCAGCATCCGGCCCTGAGGTTACAGAAAACTCAGTATATTTTAGTAGATAAATCCTGCACCATCTCCAATTTCTCCCTTGACTATTATTTATTAGTTATATTAGTTTTAGTAATATTACTGTAGCATCTAGGAGCCCTGGTCATGCACAACAAGCTATTTGTGCAAGGTGATGTACACATGTTTGCGCGTGTGTTTTCCTCATTTGGGGGTCTTTATCTCACCTTTTAACAGTCAGTTTCACACATTTAGAACCTGGGGGGTCGTGAGTTGTGTACTTTGCTCTTATATGGGGTTTTTCATCTGTGGATCTCAAAGCACTTTACCAAAGTAAGTATTAGCCCCATTTTACAGGTAGGGAAACTGAAGTATGGAGAGGTGAAATTATTGGCCCAAGGTCACACACTGATTCAGTGGCAGAACTGGGACTAGAACCTAGATCTTCAGACCCTTAGGCAAGATTGCCTCCCCTTTGAGAGGCAGCCACCCGCTTGAAAATCTCTCTGTGCATTTTTCAGCTGCAATGTGAAAGACCTACAGCCCTGTCATAATTGCTCAATCGCCAACTCCAGTGTAACCAGGCCTTTGATTGGCGTGGTAAGAGAATAGGACTGGGAATCAGTCTTGGGTAATCTCGGCAAGTAACTTAGAGCACAATTTTCAAAAGTGCCTAAGGGACTTAGAAGCCTATGTCCTTGGGACTTAGGTCCCTAAGACACTTAGGGCCAGATTTTCAAAGGTATTTAGGTGCACAAAGATACAGATAGGTGCCCAGGAGGAGTTAAATATCTGAAAATCTGGTCCTTGAAAGTGTTACCCTTCAACTCTAAGGGCCTGGCTTTCAGGTGCTGAGTACCCCGGCAGCTGAAGATTCTCAGGCACCTCTGAAAATCAGGTCCAGGACTCCAGTTTGTTATCCGTTTGCAAAATGGGGCAATGGTGCCGACATCACAGAACACTGTGAGCTCCAATCAATGTTTGTGAAGTGCTTTGAGAGTCTCTGGGGGAAAAAAATTGTCTAAGTGTTGTTATCAACATCATAACATGCGCATAAGAGGCGAACGACGGGTAGTAATCAGAGGTAGGAACTAAATAAGCTGTTTATGACGTGGGCTGTCGTAAAATGGCAGCTTTCTTCCACAGTGCTTTGATTTACAATTTCCACCGCAGCTGCAGAAATTAGCAGAGATTTGTCTGGCGCCTGGGTTGGAAAAAGAAACCCTCTTGCTCCCCTTTCATCCCACCACTCCGTTAGTCTGAAGTGCTCATCCTGCTGGTGAATGGCAATGAATTAAAGCAGTGAACTTCCAGGAGGTTAATGATTCCCATTGTTGTGGCATAAGTGGCTACTGCGAAATCTCTGGTTTTCAGCCCCAGAGACGAAATATGCGAGCAGAACCACACTCTCGCGTGCGGAGCCAAAAGCCAAGTTCACGGGAATTTAGCACAACTGGGCAAGATTGAATATACCCCATCAAAATCCCAACTTTTAGCTATTTTCAATTTCCCTCTGCTAGCACATTCGGTACATAGCAACCAGCACACCAGATTGGTCCAGCCCGGCTTTGGCTGTGCGGGAAATAAATGGTGTGACTCACAGGAGGTAAGTTACCCCACAAAACACAGACTGCATCAGGGCTGGAAGAAATGGAATGACCTGTGCATGATCCATCCTTCCCAATCCTGCTCCCATTGAACTCAATGGGAATCGCAAGCCAAGCAGGCCCCTTTCATTCTGTAGTGAAATCAAATCGGTCAGTGGGGGATTCCCCCCTCCCCACCCTGTCTCAGATATAGAATTGAAAAGGATTTTTTTGGACCTGATTCTGCACCATTGGCACAGCTCACATTGACTTCAATGGGAGTAGGCTGGGCCTGATCCAAAGCTCCTTGAAACACTCCCCTTTGGCTTTGACAGTAGCAAGATTGGACCTTTACTGATTAGTTTTAGGGGGCTGGGGTAGGAAACGTACAGCGCCGTGAAGCCTCGACTTTTGAAAGGAAGGGAAAGTACAGTATGGTTAAACTGCTCAAACAGTAGCTATTGTGGTATGTTCTCTGCCGCCCGCATCCTAGCAAGTAAAATAACACAAGGGTGTGCATTGGTGCCTGTATAATCTTTAGCCCGCCTCTGTCAGGTATTTTTAACCTTTGCAGCCCCCGCGAGCTGGCTGGGTGGGTGGGAG